CCCCCCACTGAGTGCCTGAGTGTGGGAGCCCCGCCGCTCTGTGTGGATTCTTTCTTGAGAAACACTTGTTTGCCTTGAGCGATTCCCCACTGCGGGAAGAAGGTGGCGGACCAGACCAGACCAGACTGGGAGAGGAGCTCAGCCTGAGCCAGGAGAGAATCGCCCGCAGGCAGCATCGTGTGCCCTGCCCTTCTGCTTTTCCGGGGGGGACAGGATTGCGTCGTCAGACATGCTATTAAGTGTGACTTATCCCCAGAAAAAAAAAAAAAAGTGAAAATTTCAAATTCATGCTACAAAAAAAAAAAAAAAAAAGATTAAGCTAATTTTGGCTAATCTTCGTGTACTCTTTGCAATAGTGACTAAAATAAAGGTTAAGAACCTCGACTGCCATCAGCATAATCCACAGCGATGCTGGGTATGAGATCGCATCATTTTAATCATCTAATTTCATGTTTCCTAACCAGTGGGGTTTTGGCAGATTTGCAAGTATTAGCTCTAAATTCTTTAAACTCGAGGCAGATAAATTTAAAAATGACCAATACCTCTGGAATATAAAATAAATGCATGATGAATTAGTGTAACTGCTCACAGCATGCATCTCTTTGTTTTCGGTGAGAGATTGATAATGTGGGGTGTGTGCGTGTGTGCGTGCGTGTGTGCGTGTGTGTGTGTGTGTGGGAAGCAGGGGCCTTTTCTTTTTTCTCTAACATTTGCAAAATTGATAACTAATTAGAGAGCTAAATCTAGGAAGAACATGGCCAGGCTCTGGGCAGCCTCGGCTTTCCACGCCAGCACAGAAGGGTCCCCAGAGAAGGTGCGCTAGCCCACCCCGACCCCCAAACCTGCAGGCCAGCCCCCCACCCACATTCCAAACACCCCAAGCCTGGATCTCGACCACTCACCCAAAGGTGGCCAGGGATGGAATTTGAGTCACCAAGTTCCCATTCACTGCCCAGACCTGCTGAGAACTTTCGGTGTCAGTCCCGACATAGAAAAGTCACTTCCTGCTTGGTTTTCTCCAGTTCAACGTTCCCACTTGAATAACGGGAATGACATCGTCATCCCCCCTCACAGGGTGACAACTAACTTGTTGATAGTGGAGGTCCCTGGATAAAAGGTCTTGTTTATCAGTACAAAGTAGTATTATTTGGTAATCACTGAGTTGGTAAACGTATCCACTCATGAGGAATTCTGGGAAGAGGGATGTAATGATCAACAGCAAAAACGTAGCTAGATATATTTTTGAAAACTCCTTTTAGGTTGACTTACTAAGGAAAAGCCCCAAATACGAGATGCTTTTCCTGAGAGCACCTGAGTCACGTTAGTCTTCAAGGTATTTTTTTGTCTAGAGCTACAGACGGACCTTTGGGAAAAGCGAGGATATGGGGTACCAATCTGGGGCACTGGATTTCCATGCCCTGGCTGCTGGGTCCTCTTCGTCGTGACCCCGCGGATGTGGCTGCGGCTGTGGGGACAGCCAGCCCCCTCTGACATTCTGCAGCGTCTGTTCTGCTTCACCTCTCTGGCCCGGCCCTGGCTGGCTCTAACTGGAGAGGCTGGTCCCTTAGAAGCCATCAGCCCGGAGGAAGAGCAGACCTTCTGCTAAGGTGGAGAGGGGCTGACACAGGTGACTGTCCTATCGTAGGAAGTTCCCTGGGCCCCCTGCCAGCCCCCTGTGACAGGCTCCGGGCTGGTTCGGGGACGTGCCCTCCTGTGTGCGCTACTGAAAGGAAGTGATAGTTAGAGCGACCTAAACCCCATCATCCCCTTGGAGTTAGTCCCTCATGCCGCCGAAACCACGCACAGCGGGCAAGGGGCAGGCCGTTCCGAGGCTGTCGCGTGACGAGAATTGGTCGTTACAGGGAATGAGATCTCGGCTTGGCTTTACGGGGGCGACAGACACGCACGACAGTGACATCACCCAAGTCACTGTAACCACTCTTACACACGCACTCCCGCCGAGGGCGAAGCTGGTGGCACGGAAAAGTGTCCCCCCAGGAAGTACCACTTTCCCCTCTGGTGACCTGAGAATGCTCTCCATCACCCCATTCAAACCTCAGGCACTGGACATTTTTTTTTTTTTAATATCCTTTACCTTTTTAATAAAAAGTAAAAAACGAACAAAAAAATACATCGATGTCCTGAATAGAACCTCTCTATGTAAAGGTGTCACTAAACAAATAAACGTAGGACCAGACAAAAGAAACAAAGCTGCGAATAGCAACATAATATACTACGAAGCGTTTATATATGTGTGTATATATTATATATGAATGTGCAGGTATATGTGTGTGCACCTGTGTATGTATAAATATGCAAATATTTGCCTACATACGTCACACACACATATATTTATACCGACCTCTTTAGATTGAAGTCCAAGGCACTTTTACAATGAACAGGTTAAAGCCATTAATTTAGGACACAACTATTTCTGGGTACATATCAATTTATGGCGCCGTATGACAGTTCGCGTCTCTCCTGGCTCACCTCGGAGTGGCTCTGGTTGGTGTAATGGGTAAGAGGGTTGGTGTGAGGGGAAATTAGGAATGTTTCTGGAGGGTTGGACTAGCCCCGCTGCCAGTCTCCTCTAGGGGGGAGGGGACCCCTGCTGGGCCGCTGAATGTCCCAGGGAAGGGCGCCGACTCTGCGCTTTGCTGGGCAGACACCCGGGTGGCCCTCCGTGGGACCCGCCCTGAGGGGCCACCTCATAGTCCCTGGCCCTGATGGCACCGGCTAAAATAAAACACCCAGAGAGGGGCTTGGGGTGGCCCGAGGCTATGAAGTCGGGGCTTCAAAGATCAGACTGGGGAAAGACTCAGGCGGAGTTTCACGGCGCCTTTGTGTTTATCCTTAGGATCACTCGGGACGGTCACGTCACCAAATAATCCTGCAGGTGAGGGGCAAGGATCATTGGTGATGCTGGTCACCGCTGCTGTGTGCTGAGGCCAGTGCTCCTCACGTTTGTGGGCCACGGGGGAGGGGGGGTCTCGTTACAGCCCCGCATCTGCTCACGCAGGTCTGGGGTGGGGCCCGAGACTCTGCATTCCTAACAGGTTCCCAGGGCCGTGGGCCACGCTTTGGGCAGACAGCCATACACCTGAATCACCGCCACGGGGCCTGCTCCCCAAGTCAAGGAATTTCCTTGATCTAGATCGAATCATCACTTTGAGGAGAAAAATCATAATATATTCACTTTCTACAAAGGCGAAGAGCTAGAAGGAGAAGCGGAAAAGACCGTTCAGTTCTATTTAGTAGCAGAAAAATACAGAGACGCATCTCTGACCACCAGTCAATTATAAGATGCAGAATAAACTAACTTCCATTACCAGGTGAGCAAGTGACCTGCGGAGGACAGGTGCCTTGGCGTTCCCGTGGCAACCATGGGGTCCAGCCTAACGTGCAACCGAGGGGCAGCGCAGACACCGTGAGCATTAAGCTCCATGAGAACCAAAGGCGTGTGCAAGCCGGGTCTCAGCGGCACGCGTGCGTCCTCGCTGGTGCTTAGACGTCCGTCCTGCGGACAGCACGAGGAGCTAACCCCACCGAGGCCCGAGCCTTCCCTACGCTCATGCCCGGGTAAGTGGAGTTTGAAGGGAGTCCAGCCTTATTCCCAGGAGGAAACCTGCTGTTTTGCACTATCAGCAAATCCGTGTGGATTCTCCGAGTGTGTGAAGGGAGGAGGTGTGCACGCTCGGCTCCATCTACGCTGAGGCTCCTTGGTTGGCACCCTCAGATACGAGCGAGGGTCCTCGTTGGGGGCCCCTTGCTTCTAGAAAACCTCTCTCCTGTAACCAACACATCCTGCCTCCTTCTGGTTCTCCGGTCATTCAAAGGAGGGATTAAGAAACTCTACCCGTGTGTCTTGACTGCTGCGTCAGCGGGGCAGGGCAGTGGACCTCACAGCCGCGCATATACATAGGGAATTGTCCCCGATTATGCCAATAAAGGAAAACATCTGGGTTGAACACTTTCTTCCCTCCCCGCCAGCTACGAAGAAAGCCTGGCTCCAAGCTGGGTCTTGCTCCCTTGTTCCCTTAGGGGCTGCGCTCCACGTGGTGGGTAAGCAGGTGATGGCCTCGCTCCCGCCAAGGTACGGCAGCTCAGAGAAGCCCATCTGCACGTGGTGGGCTCCCGCCGGGCCCGGCCCACGTTCTACTCTGACTCTGAGAAACTTAGGCCCAGGATTCTGAGTCTTGTGGGTCACAGGAGAACAAAGCTCTTCCTTACGCCCAATTCTGACATTGCCAGAAGAAAAACCGGTTGGCCGAGTTTGAGACATATCATTTATGTAATGGGGCCTTTGAATTTATATAGAAAGAGCCTGCACTTTTATTAAACTGGCTTTGCACAGCTGCCAAAGGAGTGATGGCTTTTAAAAACCTCTTCTGGAATGGCTTGATAGAATTTAGGGTGGAATTAGTCTTCTAAGCTTTCGTCTCTAATAGTCAGGTCTTGGAGAATTAGCATATGGCAATTCTGTGGGCCGAGGCCTGTTGGACCGGGGGTCAGGCAGTTGCGAGCAGTGATGTGTACTCAGAAACAGTCATGGGGAGCAGGCTGACATTCAACCTGCTAAAGACTAGTTTGATACAAAATGTTAATCGAAAGTTACAATATATTTTGTAATATAGCAATATATTTCATATTTAAAATAAACTGTTATGCTTTCTCCTATCATTAAAAAGTAGCAAGCAGTACAGAGGCAAGATGCAAATTCATATCGAAGCTCATCTGATCTGAATATAAAACACTTCCGTTTCTGGGTCTGCCGTGAAAATGACCCCTCCATCGACACCGTCACCCTCTCCAGCTGTTGGCTTCTGGTCAGGGCAGACGCGAACGGGAGTCTGGGACCAAAGCTAAGTCGCCGTGTCATTCCAAAGCCCGATGAGGGTGGACGGGTCCCGGTCGAGATTCGGGACCCGGAGCAAGACGACACAGCTAGAGAATGTCATTTGTCCTCTGTCCCTCTGTTGGACCTGGATGTTGGCTGTTCCAATCAGATTCACGCTTGATTTGTCACTGATTTTTTTTTTTTTTTTTTTTTGGCTATAAATTCAGCATCTCTTTGGGATCCTAACTTCGGGTTGGTGTTGAAGTTTGTGCTTTTCCTCTACCAGCTTGGTTGGTCACACCGTCTCTCTCGTATGCTTCAACACGTGGTCCCGGCCTAAGGTTACAGCTTCCAGGATGCATCTCTCAGGTGTGTAAACAAGTGTGGCAGGGGCACTCGGCACCTGGGTTGGAGGTCATACGTTGAGGATTTGACAACGGTTTTGTTCGGAGGGCACTCCAGTTCGCGCTGGGGGGGTGGGGGGAGCTTCCAGTAGCGGCATGAGGAAGAAAAGATCACAGTTATGTTTTGCTCTGTCTGAACACATTGACGTGCCATCGCACTGAGCTCCGGTCTATTTCAGTAAAAACCTACGTTTACCTGTCCACGGGAGTTTAGTGTTAATTGCTACGCACACAGCCTGGCACGAGTTTCAGGATGAAGACCACGCGCCTCCATTCCCTACCAGGGGCAGGCAGTTCCTACGGCGCCAATCTGACTACGTGCGGGGGAGGGGGCCGTCCCCAGCCTACCAGGAAACCGCCGGGCAGCTGTCCCAGGTGCTGAAATCAAACGCCACGGGGTCAATAGGGACAGCCAAGCGACGACGAACGGATCTTGACTCTCCTTCTAAGCAATTTTCCAGAGGAGAAGAATGACTGTGAAGAACTGGGGACATATTTTAGGATTCCAAAGCAGGAAGTTAAAGAGAGAGGCAGCCTACTGGTAGTGCAATGACTTCATTCACAGTGTCTCAGCCGGGGTACTGAGATGGCAGCAAGAGCATTTGCTCCGGGATGAAACACGGATTCCTAATTTGGGGTGCACTGTGTGTCGGGGTGCACTCTGAGGAGGAGGGAGGTCCTGGAACGGTGCGCTCACCTCACGTTTCTCCCTGCTCACCTCCTGACCTAGCTGAGACATAACCATCGCTTTTTGGAAACTACCGTTTGCATTCAGATGCAACACCGAGGTGTGTGTGGGGGCGGGGGGGGGAGGGAGGAGAGTGTTGGCATTGCCGTTGATGGCAACAGCGATTCCATTTTTAAAACTCTGTTGAATACTTTGTACTTAAGAATATAACTATTATCTTCGTTTTAAGTACAGAGAAGCTGAGGTACGAGGTGGTTCTATTAATTGGCCAAAGGTGTGGATCCAGTGTCAGGAGTTTTATTTATTCTGATTCTGAGTCTCTAGTTCTCTCCTTTTCCTTCATTACTTATTCACAAGGAAATCACTGAGAATCAGAGGGGGAAATCCTCAAACAGATTAAAATCGTATTTCTTCCACGCTGTTCCTTCTTGCTCTTAAATAAGTCATGACAGCTTGCACTTGCTCAGTGCTTTAGAATTTACGTGCACGTACGTCTTCTGCACCTCCTAAGTTACGAGGTGGTTGTCATACCACTGGTCCCTGCTGAAGCCAGAAGGCAGTGGTGACTCGGGGCCTTTCCCTTCTCGTTCTTTTGGATTAAGAATTTCTAGAGATGTGATTTCATGGAGTCACATATTGTGAGGATGGCAAGAGCAGTTTCAGATACTTTATGACCATTTATTCGTGGTGATCACACACAGGTGGCCTTTGAACCTAAGGTGGTTTTTATTTGGACTTCAATCTAAGGAGGAGGGGGGCCCTAGTCTGGTAGAATTTACCGACTGATGCTATGTCCTGGAATCCCACTGAGATTCGTGGCCTTAAAGCATCACGGTACACCCCTGACTTTACAGTACATGGAACGATATTATGGCTTAAGCGATGTGGGGTGGCCCTGTATTTTTAATTCAAGTGTCTAAATGTTTTAGGGAACATGAGGGTACTTTGACCTGTCACTAAATTAAAAGAAAAGTTAAAGCAGGGGCTCTGTCACTGGTCCAGCCTTCCAGAAGCGGGCAGAACTCAATCAGTTCAGTACTGGAGTGAGGTTATCATGATTCGCAGTTTTTACATATAGCCAATTCTCGAGTAGATAATTAAACCTCCTCCACCATCGAACCTGAAAACAAGGAACGAGAAGGCATGGCGTGAGAATCCACCTGCCCCCTTTCCCATCTGCCTGTGATGCTGAGGGGCAGTGGGGTTAGCCAAAAGATGGGCTGGAGGAAGAACACCTGGGCAAGCCATACCCCGGATAGTCGATACCTAAGTCATCAAGGGTTGATTGTACTTGCAGGAAAATGCGGACCTCCCTGCCTAAAGCTGAATTACTAGTACAGCTTCCGTTAGCCACTGCAGGATCGACACGCAGCTTGGACCACTTCGTGGGGGGCGGGGGTGGGGAAGATTAAGTATTCTTTGCCAAGGACAAAACAATATATTGCTATTGCACTACCAATAGGTCGAGTCAGGCTCCGAACGCCCACTGAGGACACTGCGACCTCAACCTTCGCTGGCGTTGCTGGCTCGGCCAGGCCTTACCGACGCCGATGGCGTTAACGATGGGTTAAAGAATTGTCCACAGACCGGGATGGATCAACTAGTGTCGCCTGTCGTTTGTTTGAAAGGAAAACCGAATCACTACGCGTGTGCACGCGCACACACGCCACAGGGTCGCAGCGGGACGGAAACGGGGGGGCAGAAACAAATAGTCGAGGGCTGTCAGTTGAAAGGTCAGGACAGGCACACTCGGCTCGGCCGTCTGTGGCCTTCGCTCTGTGAAATGGAACCGAAGCCACAGAGACACCGCACGGTTGCTTCACCTGTGGGCACGTCTGTTTAAGTGTTCAGCTGAACTGTCACGAACAAGGGGAGCACCATTCCCGGGACATAAAAAAGGAGAGGGGGCTTTCAGAGCATCAATAGTTAACAAGATTAAAAAAGGCCGACAGCAAGTGTGGCATCTGTGGTGGCCAAATGAAAATCTTCGAATGAGAAAATCTTCGGAAATAAACGGGAGCCCGTTAAAGGAATCGCAACAGCAATAGAGAGAGAAAGAAGGTTAGCAGGAGACCAGATCTCCTCGAAAGAGTGGCCTTAGTTCTAGGGTGGTCTACCTTCGCCCTTAGAACAGGGGTCCCCAAACCCCGGCCGTGGACCGGTACTGGTCCGTGACCTGTTAGGAACCGGGCCGCACAGCAGGAGGTGAGCAGCGGGCCATCGGAGCTTCATCTGTGTCTGCAGCCGCTCCCCGGCGCCAGCATCACCGCCTCAGCTCCGCCTCAGATCACCAGGCATCAGATGCTCACAGGAGCGCTGGTCTCCGGTGCCACAAAGGTCGGGGACCGCTGCCTTAGAGGAAGGAGCAGGCTGGTGCTGCAGAGGGAAATCACAGCCAGACACTGCCTTCGGGGTGGCGATGACGTCCCGTGCAGAGCGAATCCCAGCGGAGCACCTGCACACACATGACACCCTGCTGCTTCGCCCCGAGCAGATGAAATACTGCACGTGGGGTCAGCGGCAAGCAGAAGTCAAAGACCTCGGAATGAGAAGCTGGCCAATAGCACGGTGGCGTCCACATCACAAACGTTACGTGTGGTTAGGTCATGGAGCCATGAGAAGAGTTTGCATCCCGAGGCCCTGTCCTCACGATGCCTGTCATTACACTGACACCGGACCTTGATGTTCTGAAGGCTCCCGGACTTCGGGATGCATTAGGCCCGTTTTGGCACCGAGGTTATCGTGGCACAGTAGGACAGGCTACTGACAAATGCATGCCGTCTCACCTGGCCCGCAAGGCTCCCTAAGGGCTCCCTTGATTCTCATCATCTTTCATGTTGAGGTGATTTTGGGTCAGGTGGAAGGGACTACTCACTGTCACCTCTCCCTCCAGCTGAGCAGCTCTCAGGTCAGGCACTCGACCCCTCTGCACTCCTAACACCTGGGCCTGGAAACCTGTCGCTGGCCACATCCAGCCGAGGGAATCCCCGGACAGTACTCCCGTTCACGCAGGCGTCACGTGTCCTGAGCGGGTCATGCGCTCCATGGGAACGCGGCTCATTTGGGTACGAGGGGAAAACCCTGCCAGGCTGTCAGTTTTAGAAGGCTGCCATCCCTCCAGAGTGCCAACACTGTGGGCCTGGCACGCATCTAAGGCTGGGCAGGCTCGGTGTACGTCCGGGGAGAAGCTGAAGGGCCCTGCGTCTCTCCTGCAGCTCGGGGTGTGGCTGACGCCTGCAAACCCCCGGAACCGAAAGCACCCGCTCCATCCAAATGGCCTCAACACACATTTAGGGAGTGCCTACCACGCGCAGGATAAGGAACCAGGTCCCTTTAAACTTGGGTCGGGTTTAAACAAGAAAAGACCTGGGTCGAATGTGGGATGTGTGTGTGTGTGTGTGTGTGTGTGTGTGTGTGCACACGTGTGCGCGCGCACACACACACACACACACACACTTGCAAACACAGTTTCTATGGGTATTAATATTGGATGGAAAATCTAGCTGCTTTTTCTTCCGTCCAAATTAGGTTTTATGATTCTGTAAGGTATGGGATGAAGTTTTGGCAAGTTGTGGGCAGCTCTCTTTTCCTTTTGTCATCCAGAGTCTCCCATAGACAAAAGGACAGGAGAGAGGCGTGCCCGGACCGGACCGGACCGAACCGGGGTAAGGAACCCCGCCCCCAGCCTGGCACGCCCCTCCCCCAGCGCGAGCCTCCTCCGCGGGCTGCGCTGTTGCCCAGCTCAGCGCGTCGGTCCTCCCACCCCACGTGAACACCTGAGATTGAGCGCGGATTTCTGTTCTCCGCCACCTCTGCAGCAAGGGCCCTGCCACAGGCGTCGCTTCCTGTCACCTCCGCTTCCCGCTCCCGAGTAGAGGCACCGAAAACAGATTAGATTTCTGGTTTCAAGGCATATCGAACCAAGCACACGCGCGATGGCGAGCCAGCCAGTCAGCTCGGTCTCTCGTCTTTCCGTTCCCTGGCCTCAGTGTCCCTCGATGGCAAAGTGACCAGGAGAGTCGATTTGCATCTTAAGACCTATGGGCGATGCTTCCGGAGTGCGGAGGCTCGTTTAGCAACTGCTAGAACTTGTGTAGGGGGTCGGGAAGGAGGTGGAGCTGACCCCGATGGGGCTGTCGGAGGGCGGGGCGCGGGTGGCGCCCACCGCCACGCCCCCGCCGCGGGCCTCGCTGACCGCAGACAGGAGCTGCTGCTGCTGCTGGCGCAGGGCGTCGGCGATGAGCAGGGGCAGGGACTGGAAGCTGGCGGCCAGGTGCTCCAGCTTGGCCTCCAGGCTGCCGATCCGCTTCTCCAGGTCTTCGCTGCGGTCGCCGAGCTCCGTGATTAAGTCGCACATGACGTTCTGCATCTGCGCGGGGAAGCAGAGACGGGGACAGGTGGCTGTCACAGGCATCCGCGGTGGGGGGCGGGGACAGCCCCCCGCGTCGCAGCGGGGGCCTTTGCCGAGGCGGCCTGGCCAAGGGCGGGGAAGCAGCTCGCGGCCCTGGGTGCGCGGAGGCTCAGGCACACGGCCGTTTCTCTCCTCCCTTCTTATGAAAGGAACGCACATTAATTATAAAAAGAGATTCGAAATACGTGCGATGGAAAAGAAGCGGCCTTTCTCCTGAACCGCCCTCATGCTCTGCCTACACCCAGGCTCTCAGCTGGGGGGCGCTGGGCCCTAAGATTCAAGAGAAGGCCCCTGGCGGGCGGGGACCACGCAACAGCCACCCAGGTTCAATGCCACAGCTCGCTGATAGGGCGCTCTCCCTCCCTCAGCCCCTCAGCCTCTGAGCCTGGGGTTCCCTGTACAGCAGCTGGCGGCCATCGCACATGCTTACGAAGCTGTTGTCCACTCGCCCGGTTTCAACACGGCGGCCTGACTCACTCCTCGGGCCTGCGCCTCAGCGACAGGGGCTGCCTGCCCGAGGTCACAGCCCTGCCCCGGCCTGGCCCACGAGGGGTGACGCGGCCTCAAGCCGAGGGGTGTCGACCCCGAAGGATGTCAGCCTCCACAGCTCCCGCGGTCCCGAGCATCCTGTCTCAGCTCAAACTCTCCCTCCGCCGCATCCCGCTGCCCTCGATCCTGCGGCGTCCCCAGCAACCCCCCTGCTCGGCGCCGCCCCTCAGGGGTCCAGGGCCGCCTCGATCTGCAGTGGTCCCGTGTCTGACAGTCCTGCCGCCCCCAAGCACTCCCTAGAATCACCTTCTCGATGGAGCCTCTGTAGCAGCCTGCTCGGCACCGAGCCTGGGCCGCAGCCGCAGCCCCGCCCCGCCCCCGCCAACCGCACTCCGCGCTCCCCGACTTTCCTACCGCCTTCCACTGCGCTGCTGTCTGCCATCCCCCCGCGGAAGGAAAAGTCCTTCAGGGTGGGGACACTTGCCTGCTGTAGCCACCAATGTGCCCTAGGGGCCTGAAACAGCATCTGGCACACAGGAGATGCTCAACTAACACATTCTGATGGGCGAACGTACACAGAGCAAGGCAGTGCTGTGCACGCGATCCTCGCGGAAAGATGCCGGTGAAGCGGAAAGAGCCTGCGCGGGTGAGCGTCCCCTTCCTTGTCCCTGTCCCCGTCAGCCTTCGCCCAGGCGGGAGTCTCATGGGTGGGGACAGTTTGCACCACCGACCGCTTCCACCCACCAGCGGACTCTCGGGGTCGCCACCAGGACCCAGGTGGTGGACAGACGCCCAGGGGTCCCGCCGGGGCCTGAGGGCTCCAGGGCAGGCGCTCAGTGGGGTTCACGACCAAACAGAAGAGAGGTGGCCAGCGCAGGAGCGCAAACACGGGGTGCCCCAGGGGGGTGCAAATAAAATCAAATCTAAAAGTAATAAAATAAACCTGCCTTCAAGACTTCCGCTGTAAAACCAGGGAACTCGGCAGGCCGAGGGCGCCGTTTTCTCCCAAGAGCTGCCCTCTGCTCTCTGCCCTCTGCCCTCTGCGGGTCGGCCGGGTCTCCGCCAGAGGCAGGGCCGCCCACTCCCGGCCTCCCGACTGGACCGGGCATCATCACACCAGCCCCACGCCTGCCCACGCCGCCTGCAAACATCCCTCCAGCTCATCTGCTCTCGGCGAAAGCACTTTAGCTGCAGCCAAGACCAGCCACTGCGCTGCCGTCCACGGTCCCGGCCCGCGGTCTGGCCCCGCGCAGCAGGCCACTTTCTGACGACACTCCGGCATCCCGGCTTGGTGTGGAGAGCCGTCTATGTGACAGCCACGTCTCTCCTGCAGACTGGCAAAGGACGTCAGGCTTGGGAGAGAAGTTCATGGGTGTCTTGGCACTCCTGGGGCCCCTGTGGCTGCAATGGCTGAGGGCCGGGTTGCCTCAGGTCCCGCCCCCTGGTTCTGTGGCTCTTGGGGCTTCTGGTCACCCACCAGTGACACCCTGATTATATCTCGCCTGGAGCTACGAGTTACTCCAGGAAGACGCAGAAATACTGGTGCCCCAGAGGCCAAGGGAGCAGGAAATAAGGTGAGCGAAAAAATGAACAGTATGGAAAGTAGAAGAACAGGAGAAGCCAGAGAGGAGGTGGGGGCAGGGCTTGACGACATGCCCCACGAGGGCCTGACGGGCCCAGGAGGCGCCGTCTCGGAGGTGGCATGAAGCAGGGCTGCTCCTGTGAGGGCAGGACACTGTGCTGAGGACGCCCTCGGAGGAGAAGGTGACTTTGGAAGTGAAAGTGCCTCTTCCGTTAACTAACATTTGAGAACCTCCTCAGCGTGCCCATTCTTCCCGGAATATACAAAAACAGACGTGTCTCCGACCACAGGGACACCCTGACAGGTTCTGGCCTCAGGGACACCCTGACAGGTTCTGGCCTGCTTCAGGCCCCTGGGTCTCGGCCCCAAGCACTGCCGCTGGCCAGCTGCCGACCTTGGGACGGTCACTTTGTTCCTTTAGATCTAGGTCTCCTCATAACCAGAACGACCATTTGCAAACCTTTAGAGTTCAGAAAGCATTTTCACAGAAATCGGTCTTATTTGATCACTTGAGCCTCAGTCATTAGGGATTATTTTTACATTTCAACGAGCAGATTAAAATTAGCACATACAGAGCCCTGCCACCCTGTGCTCGAGGCGGCACTGGGTACTTGGAGGCCGCAGTGCCAAACTGTTTATCTAGAGAGGACCAGAGGGTCGGGGGGGCGGGGAGCTGGGGAGCTGGGAGGACGAGGCACAGCGAGAAAAGAGGGGGCCGGCATTACTGTCTGCCCTGGCCCTTTGCTTGGTGGCAGGAGGCTGGGGGGACGTGGACCGATGGGAAACACACTAAGCTGCTGCCAGGACCTTGGGTGAGTCTCCTCCTGGGAGGAAAGACAAAGCCGGGTGGACGGCAGCAGCCACCTCGGCCAGGCCTCACGGCACAGCGGCCTGCGGCCCCAAGGACACCCCCTCTCCGCCCTCTTCTCCGCACCCTTCCTTCAGGGGATGGCGGTTCCCAGGCTGGGTGGCTTCGTTCCCCACCCTTCGCTGAGCGGGAAGGCCTGGTGTGCCCGGGTCCGCGGAGAACTTCAGCCACCGTGCACCCACCAGGCCAGGCCACAAGCGCTGCCGCACGTAGCAGAACCATCTCAGAGCACCGCCCGGGCCACTCCTGCCTCTCACAGGGCCCCGGCCACGCTAACCCTTTACAGCCTCTTTCTGGCCGTGGCCGATTGGTCCAAGGGTGACTCGTGACCCTGAGGGGCCAGTCTGCTCATCAACTCCGAGAGTTTAGAATGAAGATGGTAGAAGGCGGCCAGTTCGTCTGCTTGCGGCTAGAAACGCTGAAGCTGTGGGGGGAGGGGAGGGTGAGAAGGAAGAGCCCGAAGCAGGCACTTGAACCGGAGGAGGGCGGGCGCCAGGGTGCTCCCTGGGCGCAGCACTCCCGGGTCCGCTTCTACTCAGTTCCTTCCTGAAGTGGGACCACGGGCCTGCTGGGATTCTGCCTGGAATGAGACTTCCTTGGTTCCTCCGAATAAGCGCCTCCATTTTTCAACTGAGTCCCGGTGGGTTCTGGCACCGGACTCACCCCAGACATCAGGGGGTACGCTTTGCACTCTCTTTGCATGCCCCCCCCCACGCTGTCAGGAGCCCTGCACCCCGCTCGGCACCCGTCCCAAAGGCACACGGGCCTGTGGCTTCTCCTGTGCAAGCCACGCCCCCACCCCGCAGCTGGGGAGCCTCTTTCTTTGGCTCTGTCCCTTCACTGAAGGAGGCGCCTGCACGTGGCCCAGAAACCAGCAATTTCTCTGATTGCGCCCTCTTTTCAAAGGGTGTGTAATTGGCCCGAGGGAGTTTCTCCTGCTTACCCAGGCACCGTGTGCCATTATGGTAATTGACATCTGCTGGAATGTTCTGCCAGCCTGGCCCTGGGCTGTACGCTTGATACATTTCCATCGAGAAGCCGTGAGGAGAAGGGGCCGAGGGGAGGAGGCCCTGCCTTCTGTGGCACCCACACTCAGCCCTGCCGGCAGCACGGCCTCGGGCCCCCCACCGAGTGACCGGCAGAGGAGCGAGTCCCTGTACAGCGTTCACGGCACCTCAGGATGACAATGTGCTGTCCAGCCCTGTGGCTCTCGAAGGCGGCTCTCATTTCTGGCATCTTCACAATCCCATCTCTTGAGAAGCAAAGAAATGCAACCCCTCCCCCCCAAACCTGGGGCCAGGGAAGCGGGGTGACAGGATGGAAGGACGCAGGAGAATGAACAGCCAATTACAGCAGCAACCCGGAAGGCTCCCCCCAGGTGCGACTCCGACAGTGTCACCGCCATCATCACCAGACGGTCCCCATCATTGGGCCTCACTCTGCACAAGCCTGAGCTCATCTTAGGAACCCTCGTCGTTCAGCTAGGAAAGCCACACGCTGGAAAGATGTAGCAGGTCAGCTAATTAACTCCAAGCAAAGACAACCCCGAGCGATCAAATCGAAGAAACGAACGCCAGGCTTCGAGGGACCACGAGACACGCTGGAAGACGGCCACTGTCAAGACCTCGAACCCAGACGATGTTTTAACCAAGGACGAAGTTCCTTGCCACCCCCGCCACCCCCACCCCGCACCGTGCCTTTCGGACACGGCCCGTCTTCGCGGTCACACCCAAGAAGTTTAAATGCCAGCCTCTGAGACCTCTTTGGGGTGTCTCCAGATTCTGTCTCCCACCTTGGAAAGGTCCACCAGGGTGTTGGCTTGGTCGCTCAGCTTCCTCTGCTCCATCTTGACGCTCCTCAGTCTGCGGGGAAAAGTGGACAGCCATACCCTTCAGGGGCGTCTGAGGATTAGCCCCACGAGCCGATTCCACAGCCACGTCAGCTACTCTGGTGTGGAAACGTAGCACGGGGACCTCGACCATGGGTAGCGGCTCAGCAGAATCAAGGGCCAGCCAGGCGCCAAGGGAGCACACGCGTGTTTCCACGCATGTCTGCCTCCGTCATTGGCCTCCCCAGCCCAGCTCGTTCCCCGGCCTGTGTCTCGGCTGTGCCCCCATCCTGAACGCCTCACCCGCAGCCCTTCAAGGTTTACCCAAACCTCCCGGCCAGAATAAACGTTCCCATCCTCTCCGTTATCCTCACGCTTTAAAAAGCCTCCTCTTATAGAGAGCGCGAACAGTTTGTTCTGCTTCAAGTTGTAATGTGGTGTGTGGTGTGTGCGTGTGTGTGTATGTGATGTGCGCATGATGTGTGGGGTGTGTGTGTGGGTGTGAGGTGTGCGTGTGATGTGTGTGTGTAGTGTGTGTTGATGTGTGTGTGTGTGTGAGGTGTGTGATGTGTGGTGTGCGTGTGTGTGAGGTGTGTGGTGTGTGTGTTGATGTGTGTGTGTGTGAGGCGTGTGATGTGTGGTGTGTGTTGATGTGTGTGTGGTGTGTGGTGTGTGTGCGTGTATGTGATGCGTGTGGTGTGCGCGCGTGTGTGTGTGAGGTGTGAGAGCCCTGAGAAGCTCCTGCTCTGATTTTTACCCTCCACGGCAGCCCACCCAGTCCCTGGCAGGTGCACTCAATGCACTGACGGGTCTGTGTCCCGTTTGTCATCCCCAACGCGTGTCAAGTGGGAGAGAACGGATGCGTTCCGGGCTCTAAGTGAGCAAGGGGGTGTTCACTTAGGGGGCCGAGGGCCCG